GTTTCAAATAGATGTGTGCGGAACTTGATAACAGGCGCAGCATGTGCAGAGGTTAAACGGTTACTTGCACCCAGGCAGCCTTTCACATAGATGTGCGCGAAATTTGATGACAGGCATTACTTGCACCCACGCAACTCTTCACATAGATGTGCGCGAAACTTGATGACAGGCGCAACATGTGCAAAAGATTAAATTGTTGCCTGCACCCAGGCAGCTTTGCACATAGATTTTCACGAAACCTTTTGACAGGCACAGCATGTGCAGAGGTTAAGTTGTTACCTGCAACCAGGCAGCCTTTCACATAGATGTGCACGAAACGTGATGACAAACACAACAATTGTTACCTGCATCCAGGCAGCCTTTCACATAAAGGTAGACGTAAGCTGATGACAGGTGCAGCATGTGCCGGGGTTCGTTTTTTTTTTGGATCCAGCCGAATTTTCATATACAAGTGCAGTAGCGAAGAATGTTGCCACGCTGCCGTCTATGCAGAGACGCGATGATGCAGCAACCGCAAGGTACGGTACAATTGCAGATGTTGAACGCATCATTGTCTTGTGTGCGCGCCGAGCTGGGTGCAAACGCTGTGAGTGTACCTCTACACGTCCTTGGGATGAGTAAACTTGTCAAATTTTTCTTTCAGAACAACGTGGGTCCAAAGACAAGAATCGAAAGGTAGAATTTTGCAAACAAATCCGTCGCCGATTGCGGGCATAATTTGCGGCAGAAACGTGCCCTGCAAGTCCGAAGGTCCGAAGGTCAAGTTTAACGAGGTTTTTGGCTAAAGACCAAATTTTACGAGGACCTTTTTTTTACCTCGGTTCGATAGAGCTCAGCGATTTTTCTCCTCACGTTCATCGTCGCCAAGTTTTTTCCACATTGGTTGTCATTGCGGCCCCATGCGCCCCCAATTTTTTTTTAAATGGTATCAGAGCCACAAATGACGACCGAAAACTATACCGGTTCAATGCTGAATTTGACTTGAACCCCATTTGAAACTGTTGCTGCATCATTGGAAAGCAACATTTTTTCAATCACCTTCAGATCACAGCCCTTAATGGGCCGTTCCAATTTGCAATGAAAAACCACTAAGACTGACATTCCGGAGCTTTTGCAAAGCAAATCCGTGGCGGTTTCCCTCAAAAAATGTTATGTTTTTTTTGCGTAAATTTTAAACTTAAAAAATGTTTCCTAAGGTTTCATGCTCGGTTCACGCTCGGTTCACGGTAATAGTAGGTCTTTTGCCAGTAATAGTAGGTCTTTTGCCAGTAATAGTAGGTCTTTTGCCAGTAATAGTAGGTCTTTAGAGGGTCCGTTCACGCTCGGTTCACGCTTGGTTCACGCTCGGCTCACGCTAGCAATATTGGGCCCGTGACAATTCATATGCCATGCGTTCGTGGTGGTTCCGGCCCTGGATTCCCAATAATAAAATAGTGCGGGGTACCCAATAATAAACAACAAATCGGATATTTGGTAGGCAAAGGGAAGTACTTATCCTGACATTTATTTTATTTTCTGCAGGATTATTCGGGAAAATTGCCCGCATGTAAAGCTGTCATAATAATCATATACACATGATATATCACAAATCACCAAGCATGACTTCATAATTGATTCATAATACAACTCGGAGCCATCAAAATACTGACAAAAACCAATCAAAAAATTGATCGAAACTGGTTGAAAACACCATGCCACCCACAAGGTCCAAGTAAAAAATAGTAAAAGTAGGTCCCTATCAAGTAATAGTAGGTCCTAATCATCAAAATTAACAAACAAATTTTTACGAGGTCATTGACATGGAGGGGTAACATTAGAAATTACAACATGGTAACTTTGAAACAGAGAACGCGTTGTGAAAACCCACTAGACCATCCCAGTTCAGCGAATTTTGGCAGAATATTTTCCATTGTGATCGTGAACTTGGACAAACTATGTTTCCCAGTTGGCATAGGAGTCGTTTCCATGACATCCGACCTTTTGGATTAGAGTGTAGAGGAAGATGGGAAACAATGCGCGAAAAGAAACGCATGGAAACCAAAATGCCAACCGGATTGTTTTGGAAATCATGCAACAGGGTGGTGCGAGTACCCGCTGGACATTTGCAGTGGCATGTTGATGTTTGGCACGCTGGAATTGCCGTGGCGTCAGACCTTGTTTCAAATTCTGCCGGCGACGGTTTTTTTTTCCAAAACAAATAGCTTGGACACCAATGGACACATGGCAGAACAGTTTCCCATGCGAACCAACTCGTAAATCCGAACGGAGTGCAGTGAGATGAGAAAACCGATCAAAGGAACTTTCCAAACGTTATTTTCCAAGATGTTATTGACGCAGCGGCGCGCATCCAGTGGATGTCCTTGAGCAAACACATCAAGATGGCATGCTGCGATGTAACAGCCGTTTCACCTCGTGCTTCCAGGACTGTAGGAGGAGTGTTTCACTTCGACTCGAACGGGCGCAAAGCAAGGCAAAAGTACATGAAATGCCTTGACAGAGCATTTGCAGAGGTCTTGCCTGCACTTGCGTGGCAAGCGCTAAACATCGTGCACATGACCAAACTTTTGACATGCGGAGATCGAACCGAGAAGTGTTGTAGGTTGCAATGTTCCGTGGCAAGGGCAAAATGTGGTGACCTGGGGCCATGTTTTGAAAGGCACCAACATGTTTGGTGATGATTTTGTGTTGCAGGCGCGGTTCCGATTCCTCGGGTGCATTTTTCATGGCCAGCGCGATACGTAGGGAAATTTACATGTTTGCTCGCTTGTCACTCTGTGCGGGTCCGATCCTTCCATTTGATGCATCCGATGCTCTCTTGCAATCTATGAAGCAACGCTCTGTGCGTCTCTGTGGAACGCTGCGTTGGTGCACGTGCTAGGTGAAACCTATTGAAATCTACAGTTTCGTGTGCAACTACATGGAACGTTGTGTCCCCGCAAACACGAACCAGAGGTTTGCAAATGCTGTACCTGTCAGTCCATTCCATGCATATACAGTTAAATCGCATGCTGTATTGGTGCAGGTGCCAGTTTATTTCTCCCAAATGCTGCGTCCGTCCACGGCGTTCGTGTGGGTTTGTGTGAGCCGTTATGTTTGTCCACCCGCCAGGCCTTTCACCAGCTTTCGTTTACGCCCGTAAGGAATGCGGTCTTGGTGCCAGCACTAGCTAGCTAACTGCTTGCAAATGTGGCGTTTGTCAGCGCAGTTCGTGTACACTTCTTTGAAGTGCTACATTGGTGCAAGCATGTGCTACATTGGTGCAAGCATACCAGCTAACTGTTTGCAAATGCCGCACCTGGCAGCAGATTTCGTGCACACCTAAGTGAATCGCAATGTTGGCAGCTAGGTGTTTGCAAATGCTACGTTTGTCAGCGATTTTTGTGTGCACCTAGGTGAACGGTTGTGTTGGTGCAAGTACAAGTGCCAGCTGGTTGTTTGCAAATGTTGCGGCTGTCAGCGGGTTTCATTTACATTCGTGAAACGCTGTGTTGGCACAGGTGCCACATAGGTGTTCCGAAATCGACAGTAATACAACCCGTGAATAAATCATAATAAGGCTTAAACAATTTTGTTTGAAACCAACCCTGAGCCAACACTAAGTACACTTTTAACCAATGGAAAACATGGTGTAAATAACATGCGAGGGAGAGATTCAGATTTCAAAATGTTGCACGTACCGCGGACAGGATAGGCCATGTGGATCAAAGATCTAAACTCCGAACTGCTGCGAGTATCATGCCAAACAGCCGAGCCACCAAAAGTGAAATCAAGTGAAAAACCGGAACAACAAATCCAAAACAAATTGCAGTCCTTTGCAAAAACATAGCTGGTACTGGTACCTACGCTGACATGCTCAACAGTTGCAGATACGTAGCTCATACTCACGTCAACGGAGCCTTTCACGCAGGCATACACGAAATCTTGACAGAGGCGGCATTTGCAGCTAGCCGGTACCCTGACAGGCGCGGCGTTTGCAAAGAGCTGGCACCTGCACCAACGCATTGTTTCACGTGGGTGTGCACGAAATCCATCGAAATCCGCCGAGAGGCGAAGGATTTGTAGACAACTAGTTTGCATTTGCACCAACAGAGCGTTTGTCGTATTGGTGAGCAGGAAATCCGATGACTGGAACAGCACTTGCAAAGACCGAGGTGGTGCTTTTCACCAGCACAGCATTTCATGCAGATGTTGAAAATGTTGACACAGGCCACGTTGCCAACCACCGGATTATTACTTGCACCAACATGGCGGCTGACATGGGCGAACGATGGTGATTTTTTTCAAATGCGACATATTGACAAATTGACACGAAAGGCGATGAATACAGGAACGATAAGTGATCGAAAAAACACCAAGGTGCCGGTGAATACGTGCCGGCGGCATGACCTCGAACACTAGCCGGAAAAAGGGGCGGGGGAGTAAACAGTTCAATAAACACAAATAGCACTGCACGCTTGTGACACAGAAAAATAGTCAGTTTGTCGCCCTCAGCCCCATGCGGTTTCGGAGTCGTCGACCAACCGAACAATGTGTCTGAAGAATCATTTTTTGGATGGCACATGAAAGGTATGTTCACAATGCATGGGATGTTTGCTTGCTGGAATGTGGGGCCCGCCCTTGTTTCCGCAGAATGCTTGGCATGGAAATGGTATGTGTTAAAGTATCTTGCACTTACAAACCCTGGCACTAACCTTTCTTGAAGAACTTGTACAAAGAATAACATTGGAACAAAGTTGTGTCAAAATCCTGCCAGCGTGGGAACAGGTAGGCCTTTGATTTCTTGTTTCGACCTAGAAACGAATATAAAGGAGTTCCTGTTCGATCTGTTCGTTTGTGTGGCAATTTGGGGTCTGATGTGCTGCAACCTATTGTTCGAGCGAATGTGACGAGTGAACATGAAGATGAATGAACATGAAGAAAACGTATCCCCGCACGATCTTGAATGTCAGCCAAAAAAACCTTTGCAATGTATTCATCCTTTTCCCGCACCACAAATTGTGAACTGTTCCGAACATTTCGCCATGCGACGCCAGTTGCTGCACAATTTATTGGAGGCCAGGTTTGTGGCGTTTGTTGGATGAAACACTGCTTGGCCGGCATAGCCGGGATCCTGAGGACAATGCGCCTCCAGAGGTCGATGTTGGCCTGGGGATCCTTGTGAGAACTAGTGTTGGTGCCAGTGATTCGTCAGAAGTTGCCAGAGTGAAAGTGGAATGTTATTGTGATGAGTTCATTTCAAAAGATGTTGAAAGCATTTGAACATAATGAACAAAACAAGTGACTTCTATGTTTTTGTTAGTTTTTGGCATTTGGAGATGTCGAATCTAAGGATGCCAAAGATGCAAAAAACCCAACGTTTGGCCACTTTCTTCGTGGGAGATCAGCAAAGAGAACACGACGTTTTTCCAATGAGTTCCCGGCTGGCGCAGGACGTGTTTCCTTGACGCGTTTGCATGTCAGGTTCGAAGGGAAACATCAAATTGGTACGTTGCATTGAAATTCATTAAATTCATTGCCGGGAAGGTTTTCATGTGGTGAAAACAGCAAATATATGACCCCTGCCTGTTTCTGACTGGTGACTGTTTCTTCCAAATGAATTGGAAACTCTTGGCCGGCCCAGTCCATGTGAGCTCGCAGGGGCTGCACTGTTGTGCAAGTGTGGTTTTACAGGCAACGAAACATCCAAAATCAGGGTGACATCCCCTGGCGGCGAGGAAAGGAACACATCATTACTTCGAAAACACACTTTTTTGGCTTCATCATTTCAAGAGAAGCAGGTCGTATGTGCCGCTTGGATTGAAATATAATGAAAATGTGTGTGCCATATGTGCCATTGAGAATTCGCTGGTTTGCGAAACATGCAATGATGAATGGCAGCCACCAAGTTGGACTATTTATGTTTGCTTTTCGCATGCAAGTTCTGATCCCTTTGAAACATGGCATTGCTGTTGTCACGCTCACATCTCAGGCCATCAACATGCGTGAACGCTATCCTGGCATGCGAACAAAACGCTGTTGCGAGGAACCGACAGAATCAAGTTGCCTGGCCTGCTGCCCCTCAGCTCAGGCAAGCGCCACAAGAATAGGCAAGTGGATGCAGTGGATGCTCACCATAGATTTGCAAATAATCTAAATTCATCTTCATATTTTTCATGGGTCGCAATGTTTTCATCCTTTGATGGGACGGTTCGATTCCTGAGCGTCCCTACATCGAGGTCAGGATCACTTTGCGTATCGGGGCGACAAATGTTGCATGCTTGCACTTAGAACCATGCAGCCATGCGGGCCATGCGTGTTTGGAGGCTTTGCTGTGAACTGGAAGATTTTTTTGGCGAGCTTGCCAGCTTTGCGGATTCCTGAGGCATTGAAGTTTGCAACACCATGTGCTCTTTTGGATGGGACAAGAGCAATCACAAAGTGCCGCAATGTCCTGAGAAACTCGGCTGCTTGACCGCAGGGGAGGTGACCGTTTGACTTGTTGGATCTTGTTGGAAGAAGGGCCCACTTTGCAGTGCCTTGCCTTCATGCAGCGCCCTTGGCAGGTTCTGAAAGTGGAGGAGCGGAGGAGTGGTACGCAGAAGATCCCATGAAGGCATGGGCGGAAAACCTTTTGGGACCAGGTGTTCAGTAGTGTTCAGTGGAGTCTGAAGCAATCAATTTTCTGGCAAACTAGGATGCAGGTTGCCAGGTTGCAATGGAAAATTCCGATCTTTGGGGCCAAACGTCTCTATCTTGTCGCTGTTTTTTTTTCTCCATATTTTTTCATGTTGGATTTGGATTCCCGAAGAATTGCCAGCAGTGCACCATTGGGGGCCCACCAAAGTAAGTTGGCCACTCTGCAGGACCGTCCTCGACCAGCGGTGCCCGTGACGTATCTGCAGAGAATGTTCTTCATTGCTTCATGAATCTTAATTATGGGTCTATCGGTATATCGGAATATCATTGATGAGTGCATGTGGTCACTCTGGCTGTTTCAGGAAGGTCGTGAATCTCCGGTTCTTTCTTGTTGAATGAAACACCCCCTGAAACATCGCCTGAGGCATCACCTGAAACATAACCTGAATGAAGTGTTGCAGATCCCTGCAAAGGGTGATGATGTTGGCAGATATTTGCCGAGGATAAGAAGGCTGATGAAGCCAAGAAAGCGCAGAAGGCCCTTGAACTTGGACTTTGAGCCGGCAAAAAGGGCTGTGAACCAGGGAAAGTCACCATGGAGATTGCCGCCACCTCACACAACGTGGATCATGAAGCCTTGAAGGGTGATTTTCACGCTGAAAATCGGGAAGGTGTCCTGCTTCTATGACTGATGGAATTGATGCTTGAAATTAGTTTCCAAGCCAGGGTAGATGATACAGATTGTAGGCTTGGAGTTTTGAGTGTGGAATTTGTGAGACAATTCCAACCTCCTACAGTGGCTCAAGATTCTGATTGGATACTTTTGAAAAACAGAATTGTATTCTCATTGTGATCTTGCCATCTGCACTTCATCTAGAGCAAATAAGGAACGTTTTCCCGCAGCACCAGAGGTTTTTGTGGATGGAGGTCTCGGCAGGATCCATAAGGATGGATCAACCGATCAACCTTAACCGCCAGGTTACCGCCAGGTTACCCAACCCTCTAGCTGTTACAACTAAGACACAACTGTGAAGACTGGGCAATGTACCATTTGTAGACTCTACAGCTGCATCCTCGATGGCAGGTTCCAGCCTCAGATTGCCCAAATTGGATAAGTTGGATGCTGATAAAGACTCAATGACCAGTCCATTTATTCTAATGTGATCATTTCATGGCTTGCATCTTACATTTTGTCATCTTGACCCATCTCCGATGTGTTCGAAATTCAGGAGTCGATGCCTCACGATTTCAAGAGGTGAAGGAGCCGCCACCGCCAGCCACTCAGTTTTGCTTGGACTGCGTTTGAAAGTTTGGTGCTGGAATGGAGATTGCGAAGCCTTAAAACTTCATGGCTTCTCTGGTTGGATGATATTGTTCACAGACATCGAGTGAAGTCATCGTGAGGGGTGTCACGACAGGTTGGAGTATGGAGATGCCACTTACTGGACCTTGCGCTACAAGGAGAAGTCCACTGAACCGTGGCTGGGTCGCACTGTTCTGCATAGCTGGTAGTTGGTGCCACCTTTTCACGTGCCACAAGCTGAGGTTTGACTGGTCAAATCCTGAGAGGGCAAGCGATTTCCTTTGCGGTGTTCAAACATGGCTTGACAAACCTTATTGGCTAATGAGGTACAGCCAAAAAGAACCCTCCAATTTTTTCATATAATTATAAAGTATGTATACAATAGCCACCCATTTCTCGTAAATTGTGGCTGGTCTGTCATTGGGTTTACCATGCTCCTGATCTGCAAATGGCGATTTTTCTAGCCACAGCCATGTGAGGTATTTGAAATGGGAGCAGCTGAAGGACGCAGCTGGTGCGATGGATTTTGCGCGGTATCCGATCAGAAGGGCAAGGCGGTCTACATATCATACTAGTCATATAGCATATTTTATGATACGATTTATGTAGTGTAATATAGCTGGAAGACAGAATAAGAATATGTATGCACATATAAATTATAAATATGTAAATAACTATAGATATCTATAAACAAAGAAATACTTATATTATATAGATAAATGTATATTATTATGTGTATAAACCAGATTTTGTGGATGATTTTAGTGCCTTGTTTGATGTTGTTCCTAGTGGAAACACTGGGGCCATCAGGAGACCTTGACTCCTTGGCTGTCAGCCGAGTCTGAAGTCCTGATGTTGGGCTGTGGCCCTGTGCTCAGACAACTGGGGTAACCCTGGGTCAGGCTGGATGGTTGGTGGATGGTTGGTGACCATGTTGCGGTTTAGGTGAATATGATATAGATCTTATGAATATTAAGACACACGTAGATAGGGAGAAACATTTTGGGAACATGTCATATCGCTACTGAAATTCAACTGGACATTTTGCTGTGTGTCCATCATGCTTCCAATGGCATCCTGCGGTTGAACGAGCCGTTGCATCTCAGGCACCAGCCTGATACCTGAGCAGATGGTATCTGAAGGTCCGGGTCTGGGCCACTTTTTGATCTAGTCTCACCGACCAGCGCTTTATGTCCTTTTCTCCTTTGGTTATTTCTCTTTTCGTTCATAAGCTATAGATAGATAGATAGATAGATAGATAGATAGATAGATAGACAGATAGACAGATAGATAGACAGATAGACAGATAGACAGAGGAGGGGTAAAGGCAAAGCAGAGAGGAAGGAGATCGAAAGAGCAATAAGAAAAAAAAGCAGAGGTAGGAAAAGGAGGGGAGAAGGAAACAACAAAGAGGGCGGTGGAAAAAGAAAAAGGGGCAACAGACGAAAAATATAAAGAAAAAAACATGATAACGGAAGAAGAAGTCCAGGAAGGAGCCCACAACGGAAAGAAGTAAAGCGGACGGAGAGAAGGGGAGGAGAAAAGGAGGAAAGAGGGGGAAAAGAGCAAGGGTAAAAAGAAACGAGCAAAAAAAAGGAAAGAAACGTGCTAAACAAAACAGGGAAGAGGGGACTAGGCAAGAAAAAAGGAATTAAAACGCAGAGCGAGAGACAGAGAAAGAACAAGGGGAGTAAGCGAACAGAATAAGGAAAACGTGGAGAAAGGGGAGATAACCGAAGGGGCACAAAAGAACGGGGAAAGATGGGTCCAACCGTACAAAGAGGACAAAATAGACAGATAGACAGATAGACAGATAGAAGGATAGACAGATAGACAGGTTGACAGATAGACAGGTTGACAGACAGACAGACAGATAGATGGACAGACAGACAGACAGACAGACAGACAGACGGATAGATAGATAGATAGACAGATAGATAGATAGATGGACAGACGGATAGACATATATACTGTTATATATAAGTCAATTTTGAGTTGAGTGTGGCAGCTGCCATGTGTTTAATGATCATGTGAGGAGCTGCTTTCGGACTGGACTACAGGTCGCCATGGGTGTTTTCATTGTTTCCAGCAGAACTTAGCAGTATGCCGTGGAGGGTCACAGCGAAGACCAATTCTAGATTTAGTTGCAAAGCTGGCCTTTCCCACGGAAAATTTGCACCACACATCACCACACGTTTGCACTTGGATGGTAAATTAAAACAAAAACAAACATTTCGGACATTAAATTTGTATTACATAGGTATCCTCTAAAATGTCCATCAGTGTCCCCTTAGATCAACCCTTCAAAAAGATCCCTAAGTAGTTTAGTCGCGCTTTATCTTGCGGGATCTTGGTGTGGCGTGGCCATGGGAGATGGACGAGGTGGATCAAGCGCTGGAGTTTGAGCCTTGTCCCGGTGGCTTTTTCGATGACTTGGATGACCAGGACCTGTTAGCAGCAGCGCTTCGTGCTGAGGAGCTGGGGAAATGGCTCCAACGGTTGCTGAATTGAAGCACTTGCAACCCCTAGGAAGGTCATGAAAACTATGAAAACTGAAAATTCGTCAACGCTTTGGTAAGAGTCTGCTGACCAACTTGGTCATCCCTGCCATGTGTTTCTGGATTTTGCCCAGAGGATGTTGCTTGCCAGGAGCAGCTGGGACAGTCAGCTGCAAATCCTGAAGATTCCAGTGCCAAGCGACCGCGCTCAGATGCCTTCCATCCAGGACATCGTGACCATGATGTCCAACAAACAGCTCCCACTGCCAGCACTGGGAGTTCATTCATCCCTCGCGCAGATCGAGCCCAAAAGACGCCCGTGGATGTTTTGGCCGAGCGGCTCCAAGAACTATCGATCACTCAAGGCTTCGGCTGCATCAGTGGTCCTGGGATCATCAGTGGTCACCCGTGTCCTATGATCGAACAACACGTCCGGTGCCGCTTTGAAGTTGGTGGCGTGGAGGTCTTCTTTCCCTTTGCCCAGCCATTGGAGCCTCAAAAGGCGGTGATGAAGAGTGTCTTGGAAGCCTTGAGCCTGGGCAACTGGGCAGCAGAATTTTGCAATTTTGTTACGGCTTGCTATTTTCCAAGCCTCAACAGCTGGAGAAACTGTAGACTGCAGAAAAGCGGGTTGGGCCTGACACAGGGATGGAGATGAAATCGCTTAGGTTTGGGGTGGTTTCAATATGTTTCGATTTTGTTGGTTCGTGTGGAGGTGTTTTTGGTGTCACCAGAAATCATGTCGTTACTTTTGTGCCTCCGACTTATGATGTTCTATTCTTGGAGAGTCTTGCAGTTTGGATTTCACATCTACTGATGTTGGTCCACGGGTTATGTGGTTGCCATGGATAGGCAAATTTCAATTGCTGCTTGAGGCAAGCATGCGGTCCTAGAAAGCCCCACTGGCACTGGCAAGACTGCAGCGGTGCTGTGTGCAGCTCTTGCGTGGCAGCGGCATCGCATGGCAAAGGCTGGAGCAGCCCCACAGATCATGTATGCCACAAGGACCCATGCGCAGGTGCGTCAGGCCGGGTGAATCCACCACTGGATGACCTTGGGAACAATTCAATTGTGCCAGAACCACCAACGTAGGGGAGATGGAAAAGATGTTTATGTTTTTGTGTACGATGTGATGTGATTGAGAGGCCATGAAGGAATTGAGAAGGACGCCTTATCGTCCTGTGGTGGCCGTCCTTGGTTCTAGGGAGGCGGGGCTCTGTGTGAACCCCGCAGTCCTTCAATCTGCCGACAACGATGGGCAGATCCGGCAAGCGTGCCGTCAAGCACGACAGCAGAAGAGCTGCCAGTTTCATTCTGGGCTGTTGTCATCAGATCTCCCCGAGCTGGCTGCCAACAAGCTGCGTGGGGAGCTATGGGATATCGAAGATGCCGCCCAGTTTGCCATGGCTAGCAACTCGTGCCCATATTATTTGGCCCATTCCTTGGCACGACATGCTGAGCTGGTGTTTTGCCCCTACAGTTATGTACTAGATCCTTCTGTCCGCCAAGCAGCGGGCCTTAGCTGTGCAGATCTCACTGGCCGTATTGTCATTCTGGATGAGGCCCACAATGTGGAGAGCGTTTGTCGAGATGCAGGTTCGGCTGAATTGACCTTAGATCAGCTAAAAGCAGCCCTCTCGGCCGTGAAACGACTTCTGGGCGAAGAGGGGCCAATGCAAACAGTCCATGCAGTGGCACCTGCCCCCAGGAGGTCTATTCAAGTTGAAGAGCTGGGAGGTTTTTTTGTGCCAGCTACAGTCTCCGAAGTTTCGAACTCCTTGCCGCAAGATGCCAAATCCAGTGCCAAGAGGTCCGGCGGGTTTCTGCACGCCGTGCGGCCTCTCGGAGCCTTATTGCAGCGCATTTGCAACTTCTTGAGCGACATCCGGGAGCCCACGACCTATGCGCCCCATCTGCTTGAGCATCGGAGGGTAGAGGCACTTTTCCGCATTCTAAAGCTGGACTCCGAGCCCATGCTGCGTGTGGTGCCATCCTGTGGAACGCGCTCAGCTGAAGGCAACGTGCCTGGCATGCCACGTGCGGAATCGCTGCTGCGGGAGCTGGTTGGTCGAGGCCTCAGTGGCTCCTTCTCTTCCCAGTTGGAGTTGGCTGCTACCCTCTTCGGCCAATTGGCAGCAGCAGTGCGGCGCCCCGAGTTGTATGTGGCACGTGCGCATCCGGGAGGTCAAGGTCAACAAGCACATTTGCACTTGTGGCTGATGAGTGCTGAGGGAACACTGGCAAAGTTGGATAATGAGCTGCACGCCTTTGTGTTGATGTCTGGAACCTTGTCACCCTTGCCAACCACCATTGCAGAACTGGGCCCAACCTTTCAGTCCAGAACATTAACGCCGGTTGCAGCAAATCATGTTGTTGGACAAGAGTCCCTGAGAGTGGTCACAGTACCTCAACAATCTCCCAGCGCGAGTTCAAAACTTGAGTGCACTTTTCATGCTTGGAAACGCTTGCCATTTTTGCTTTCCATTGGCCATGCTTTGTTGAAGATCGTGCAGGCCATTCCAGCTGGGATTCTTATCTTCCTTCCCTCCTATGATTTGCTGGAACGGTGTCTGGAGGCCTGGCAGAAGACAGAGGATGATGGCCAGCTATTGTCCTGCGAACCCCGCAGAAAAGGGAAAGGAAAAGGTGGCAAGAATCGCAGTGCGGGAACGAAGCGAAGATATCGTGGGGCTGTGGAGCGGGTTCCCGACGAAGCACCAGAAGCAACCATTGCAGGTTCAGGGTTGGCAAAATCATGACCAACAGTTGAGCATGGGTGCGTCGCACATTCGCACATTCCTTAGATCCTCAAAAGTCCTCACAACGTTTCGTTTCCTTAAGTTTAAATTTCATTGTAGGACTCGGCAACCGGAAGATTTGGCTTTGTACAATCATATGCCTCTCCCTTTGTCCTTTTTTAATCTTTTTTTACCAGTCCGTTCCTTAGCCTTGCGGACAGAGGTCCCTGGTGCCTGTTGAGGACGCAGCATCATGGATGACCTCCGAGCTGCCAAGGGAACCATTGTGGTTGAACCCCCTCCGATGTGTCAGAATGGTGCCACCGTGGCACGCGTCTATGAAGCGGCCAAGGAGCGCTACGAGCAAGCTGTGCAGCAAAGTGGGCAAGCTGCTTTGCTGGCAGTCTATCGAGGAAGAATGAGTGAGGGCGTGTCCTTCGATGACGATTTCGCGCGGGGAGTTGTGTGTATTGGCATTCCTTTTCCCAATTTGACCGAAGAACGACTGGCGCAGAAACGTCTCTGCAATGACTTCTGGCTGGCGCGTGGGGTGGGGCACGTGTCGGGCGATGCATGGTACGAATCCAAGGCATTGCATGCCGTTGCTCAGGCCCTGGGACGGTGCATACGACACCCTGGTGACTTTGGGGCGCTTGTGCTGCTGGATAGTCGATGGTCGGAGCTGGGGATGCTTGAACTAGTTAAGGAGAAATTGACAAATGCTTATAGCAATGTATATAGTGTAACACAATTGCAGGTACTTTTGTGGGTGATTTAGCAGTACGTATGAGCAGTTTGGCAGCTCGATATTTCTTGTGGATCGCCAGTTTTGGTGTCCATTCTGACCTTCTTTGAACTTCTTGATCTACATCCAGCTCCTGTTTCAGTTCAGACCAGGTCAACTCCGGATTCATAGATTTTGGGCTGTGTGGTTGGCAACTAGCAATTCTTATGTTTTTTTGGGGACGAGTAAACCCTGAAAGTCGTGCTTCCTTTGTTCAGCCCCGGCTGGAGGAAGGCAAGCCAACTCCCACGATGGTTGCAGCCCTTTGTGGTGGACCGTAACGATGCAGAGGATGCAGCTCTGCTGCTGCAGGAGCACTTCAGGCGCCTGGGCGTGCTAATTCCCCCCAAGGAGGAACCCTCGGAGAGTCATGGCAGTCATGGCAGTGGCCCTTGCAAAGCTTGTGAGGCAAAGGATGAGATGAAAGATGAATTAAAGGATGAGTTGAAGGATGAATTGAAGGATGAATTGAAAGATGAGCTGAAGGAAGAAGTGAATGATGCCCCCTATGGAACAATCACCGCACAATGGCTGGACACGGAAGCTTCGTGTTCCCAAGCCAGTGAACCTTCGTCCAGGGCTGTAGCGCCCGGCTCCGTTTTTCGGGTGCCTCTCGCAAAGCCTGCAGGCGTTTGCCTGGATCTTGACAGTGACTAGGCCGGAGAAAGGCTTGACTCCAGTGAAGGCAAGATGCCCTCAGTGGAAAAGAAGGGCACAGTACGGCATAGTGTGACATAGGTGGCGGTTTCCTATAGTTTGTTTTGGAGGTGCACCAGGTGCTGCGAGAATGCATGGCTTGTCCCGTCATTTGCTCCTTAGGTCTGGCTTCAAGTATAGTGTGCGTCCTGCACTCAATTGGCTGCTGCTTGGGCACACTGGTTCAGCAAAGTCTCAATGTCGCAGTCGGTTCGACCAGTCAGGTTGATCAATGTGCCGCTTGCCTGCAAAAAGAGCCATCTCCATTTGGCTGCAGCTATTGAGCGGCCATTGGCCTCCAGAATAGGTGTGCTATACAAAACAGGAAAAAGTGCGATTTTTTTTGGGTTGATTGTTGCTCTATAGTCAACTGAACCAGGTTTCAAGGAACTGAGGAGCCCCAATTTCGTGGCTGAGGCCGAGCTGATAGAAGCTTTGAGTGAAAAATACAAGGATAAGGCTGGCTGAAGCCTTGAAATGGCTGAGTTGGCAGGGCCCCCAAGGTTAAGGTCAAATCTCCATGATCTATTTTGCATGTATTGCCTATTGGCCTATTGCTTGCGTTTTGCTTATGAAATCTAAGATAGATACAGTACACTCAGTACACGTTTAACATATAAACGTGAGCAAAACAAACGAATAGATGAGTAATTTCTATTCCTTCTTTTCCTCTCTCTCTCTCTCACATGTTATACATAAACACAGTTGCACACATATCATATGATTTGAATATATATAATATAATATATATATGTACAGAATATTGAACAAATATGTAACACACACACACAAAGAGATAATATGGCTTCCTTTTGGCTTTCAGCCTTCCAGGAGGAAGCCTTCCACTTCGAGGCCCTGGATGCTGCCCAGTTACCCGTAACCGACTGGGCGGAACGCTTCGATGTGGTCATGGACAAAGCCATGCTGGACGCCATCCTCTCTGGCAGGTGGAAGCAAAACTGGATGTTGGGATGGTTGGATGGTTAGGGATGGTTGTTGTTGGTTGTTTTTGGTTGTTGTTGGTTGTTGGCTAGACTGCTAGACTATGCTAGACTGTCTTATACTGTATGACACAGTATGATGATGAAATCAGCCGTGTTTCACTGCAGGCAAGGGCGGCCCAAGGCTGAAGAAGTCTTGAAGGCAGCATTGGTCGCGCACTCAGCGTTACTGAGGCCTCGGGATATCTCGGGATATATGGCAGCAGATGTCAGCAGTCGAACTGGATGCACCACTGGCCTCTGCCAGACTCTACCAGCTTATGTCAACTTATGTCGCATGTTGCTATCGCCATTTTTCGCTCAAAGACAGCTGGCTGTGACTTGATTTTCTAGCAGCAGCGCGCTGCAAGAGACTCAGCAGCACATATTTGCGATCTCATTGCAGCCAACAGTTAACACAGAATTTAATTCCGTGATGAGTCTGAGCATGGATGAACTGTGGGTAGAAACATGTAGAAACATGTAGAAACTATATGAAACTATATGAAACTATATGAAACTATATGAAACTATATGAAACTATATGAAACTATATGAAACTATATGAAACTATATGAAACTATATGAAACTATGATGATGATGATGATGATGATGATGATGATGATGATGATCATTCCATTTGCAAAGGGGATGCCCCCCAGTGGGATGCGCATCCAACTGGTCGGCCTCTTGCCCCAGCTGAGGTGGTCCTCTCAATGCTTCGACGCGCCCTTCCCTCCACCAAACGTCTTGTAGGGCGAACCTTTTCTACTGTAGAACAGGCCATTGCCTATGTAGGTCACCATAGGTCGAAGATTTCAAGGTTGCTAGGTAATGAGTCCCAGAAGAAAAAGGGAAGGTCCTTTTGGACTTCGAGGGTGCGGATTCCTATGATGCGCTCATGAAACCCAGCCAACCTTGGAAGGTTGCACGGCCGTCGAAATGGAAGAGACGACTGCTCCCTGGCAGGACTTAATGCTGGTTGTGCTATTGTGCGGATCAATTTCAACAGACAGGGGGTATTACGGTATTGATGTCAATGATAGGCCAAAGTTGCGGCCGTTGACTACTGTGCTTTGGAGTGATGCCACGGCTCATGTTGCTTAGCAGGTTGATAGCAACCGGCGTTGCTGGTGCCGGTGGTGCCACAGTTTTCGGATTTTCATACAGCAGCGAAAAGAAAAGACAGGAGAGCCAGATTAACGGGGGGAAATGGATGCTTTTGTCATAGGCGTTCCACCCGGGCGCAGTATTGGACACCAAATTCCGAAGATGTGCCATTTTAGTGGCGAGTAATCTGTTTTATCCAGAGCAGGAGCTTGAGTCAATAGAGATGGATGCCCAAACAATGGTGCAGACAAGTCGGGCCGCCAACCGTGGTCTCCAGCTTTGAATCAACCGTTTCCCCTCGCAGCATCTCCAACTTGACCGGCTGCCAGGAGGTTGAAAAGAAGATCAGGACTCCGGTTTCAGTCTGCTGATTGGTATGGAAGTGGAAGGTCTTGTGGACAATCCTAGCCGCTTAGCCAGACCTTTGTGCAACAGCCCTTGAAATCGCCAGCATACCAACCATTGATGACAGGTCAGCGCCAAAGCATGCCAAAGCCAAGGTATTGGAAGTACAATTGACACTATGTCCAAACATGTCCAAACATGTCCAAACATGTCCAAACGTTCTGGACCCCCAGCAAAAGCGCATGTACAACCATTTACAAAACCATTTCATTTATCATCGATATGGTCGATATGTGTGTGTCTGAAAATGGAGTATATCCTCAAGTCACCAAGTGGCAATTTCTTTCGGGAACACCAAGTGATCGACCATTGCATGGCCGTTGGCATGGCCGTTGGCATGGCCGTTGGCATGGCCGTTGCTTTTTTTCCTCCAAGAAGATGCAGAAACCATCTGTGTCGTATTCCCAGTCTTTGCTGGACTTGCTATGTAACTAATATGAACTAATACTCAGTTTGTGTCATCATCCTGGTCAATAATAGTAGCAATAATAATAACATTAATATAATAACAATAATAACAACAATAGAACAATAGTAAAAAGAATATGTGCTCAGCAAGAAAAGAGGACCGGCAGGACCATGGTGGAGACATGTCAGACATTCCCGACCGCGTGACGTGCAGGAGCGTGGAAGAGAAGGCCGTTCCCACCAGAGCACAACAGCTGAAGCGCCTGGCGTCGGGTGAAGAGTTCGATGTGTTGGTGGTTGGAGGTGGTGCCACAGGCGCTTGGATGGCGGCCATGGGGTGACCTTGGCGAAACAAACAGAAGTGGGTGAAGATTTCGGATGATGAATCGCAGTTTTTCCCCAGATAGCTGGCAAGCTATAGGGGTTCTTACTTCTCAAAGAAGGGGTCTTCGGTGGCGAACTTTTGAGCCAGACTCTGGCCAAGGTGCTGTGCAGGGTGCTGTCCAGACTGCGGTGGCGAAGTCTGGCAAAGGTGCTGTGCAGGGTGCTGTGCAGGGTGCTGTGCAGGGTGCTGTCCAGACTGCGGTGGCGAAGTCTGTGCAGGGTGCTGTGCAGGGTGCTGTGCAGGGTGCTGTGCAGGGTGCTGTGCAGGTGCTGTCCAGACTGCGGTGGCGAAGTCTGGCAAAGGTGCTGTGCAGGGTGCTGTGCAGGGTGTTGTCCAGACTGCGGTGGCGAAGTCTGGCAAAGGTGCTGTGCAGGGTGCTGTGCAGGGTGCTCTGCAGGGTGTTGTCCAGAGTGCGGTGGCGAAGTCTGGCAAAGGTGCTGTGCAGGGTGCTGTGCAGGGTGCTGTGCAGGGCTGTCCAGACTGCGGTGGCGAAGTCTGGCAAAGGTGCCGTACAGGGCGCTGTGCAGAGTGATGTGCAGAGTGCTGTGCAGGGTCTGGCAAAGGTGCTGTGCAGGGTGCTGTGCAGGGTGCTGTGCAGGGCTGTCCAGACTGCGGTGGCGAAGTCTGGCAAAGGTGCTGTGCAGGGTGCTGTGCAGAGTGATGTGCAGAGTGCTGTGCAGGGTCTGGCAAAGGTGCTGTGCAGGGTGCTGTGCAGGGTGCTGTGCAGGGTGCTGTGCAGAGTGTTGTTCAGACTGCAGTGGCGGCAAAGGTGCTGTGCAGGGTGCTGTGGAGGGTGCTGTGCAGGGTGTTGTCCAGAGTGCGGTGGCGAAGTCTGGCAAAGGTGCTGTGCAGGGTGCTGTGCAGGGTGCTGTGCAGGGTGCTGTGCAGGGCTGTCCAGACTGCGGTGGCGAAGTCTAGCAAAGGTGCTGTGCAGGGCGCTCTGCAGGGTCTTGTCCAGAGTGCGGTGGCGAAGTCTGGCAAAGGTGGTGTCCAGACTGCGGTGGCGAAGTCTGGCAAAGGTGCTGTGCAGGGGGGTGTGCAGGGTGCTGTGCAGGTGCGGCGGCGAAGTCTGGCAAAGGTGCTGTGCAAGGTGCTGTGCAGAGTGCTGTTCAGACTGCCGTGGCGAAGTCTGGCAAAGGTGCTGTGCAGGGTGCTCTGCAGAATGCTGTTCAGACTCTAGTGGCGAAGTCTGGCAAAGGTGCTGTGCAGGGTGCTGTGCAGGGTGCTGTGCAGGGTGCTGTGCAGGGTGCTGTCCAGGCTGCGGTGGCGAAGTCTGGCAAAGGTGCTGTGCAGGGCGTTGTCCAGACTGCGGTGGCGAAGTCTGGCAAAGGTGCTGTGCAGGGTGCTGTGCAGGGTGCTTGGCAGGGTGTTGTCCAGAGTGCGGTGGCGAAGTCTGGCAAAGGTGCTGTGCAGGGTGCTGTGCAGGGTGCTGTGCAGGGTGCTGTGCAGGTTGCTGTGCAGGGTGCTGTTCAGGGTGCTGTGGCGAAGGTGCTGTGCAGGGTGCTGTGCAGGGTGCTGTGCAGAAGTCTGAAAAAGGTGCTGGGTGCTGTGCAGAGTGCTGTTCAGACTGCAGTGGCGAAGTTTGGCAAAGGTGCTGTGCAGGGTGCTGTGCAGAGTGCTGTGCAGGGTGCTGTGCAGGGTGCTGTCCAGACTGCGGTGGCGAAGCCTGGCAAAATTGCTGTGCAGGGTGCTGTCCAAGAGTGCAGTGGTGAAGTCTGGCAAAGGTGCTGTGCACGGTGCTGGGCAGGGTGCTAGGCAGGGTGCTGGGCAGGGTGCTGCGCAGGGTGCTGTGCAGGGTGCTGTCCAGACTGCGGTGGCGAAGTCTGGCAAAGGTGCTGTGCAGGGTGCTGTGCAGGGTGTTGTCCAGACTGCGGTGGCGAAGTCTGGCAAAGGTGCTGTGCAGGGTGCTCTGCAGGGTGTTGTCCAGAGTGCGGTGGCGAAGTCTGGCAAAGGTGCTGTGCAGGGTGCTGTGCACGGTGCTGTGAGACTGCAGTGGCAAAGTCTGGCAAAGGTGCTGTGCAGGAGGCTGTGCAGGGTGCTGTGCAGGTTGCTGTGCAGGGTGCTGTACTAGTGCGGTGGCGAAGTCTGGCAAAGGTGCTGTGCAAGGTGCTGTGCAGAGTGCTGTTCAGACCTCAGTGGCAAAGTCTGGCAAAGGTGCTGTGCAGGGTGTTGTCCAGACTGCGGTGGCGAAGTCTGGCAAAGGTGCTGTGCAGGGTGCTGTGCAGGGTACTGTGCAGGGTGCTGTGCAGGGTGCTGTGCAGGGTGCTGTGCAGAGTGCTGTGCAGGGTGCTGTGCAGGGTGCTGTGCAGGGTGCTGTGCAGGGTGCTGTGCAGGGTGCTGTGCAGGGTGTTGTCAAGACTGCAGTGGCGAAGTCTGGCAAAGGTGCTGTGCAGGGTGCTGTGCAGGGTTGCTTGCAGGGGCTGTGCAGGGGGCGTCCAGACTCCGGTGGCGAAGTCTGCAAAGGTTGCTGTGCAAGGTGCTCGCAGCTGGTGTTGTCCAGAGTGCGGTGGCGAAGTCTGGCAAAGGTTGCGTGCAGGTTGCTGTGCAGGGTGCTGGGGTTTACGGGTGATGTGCAGGGTGCTGTGCAGGTTGCTGTGCAGGGTGCTGTACTAGCTACTAGTGCGGTGGCGAAGTCTGGCAAAGGTGCTGTGCAGGGTGCTGTGCAGAGTGCTGTTCAGACTGCAGTGGCGAAGTCTGGCAAAGGTGCTGTGCAGGGTGCTGTGCAGAGTGCTGTTCAGACTGCAGTGGCGAAGTCTGGCAAAGGTGCTGTGCAGGGTGCTGTACAGAGTGCTGTGCAGGGTGCTGTGCAGGTTGCTGTCCAGAATGCGGCGGCGAAGTCTGGCAAAATTGCTGTGCAGGGTGCTGTGCAGGGTGCTGTCCAGACTGCAGTGGCGAAGTCTGGCAAAGGTGCTGTGCAGGGTGCTGTGCAGGGTGCTGTCCAGACTGCGGTGGCGAAGTCTGGCAAAGGTGTGCAGGGTGCTGTCCAGACTGCGGTGGCGAAGTCTGGCAAAGGTGCTGTGCAGGGTGCTGTGCAGGGTGCTGTGCAGGGTGCTGTGCAGGGTGCGGTGGCGAAGTCTGGCAAAGGTGCTGTGCAGGGTGCTCTGCAAATATTGTCCAGAGTGCGGTGGCGAAGTCTGGCAAAGGTGCTGTGCTGGGTGCTGTGCAGGGTGCTGTCCAGTGGCGAAGTTTGGCAAAAATGCTGTGAGGGTGCTATCCAGACTGCGGTGGCGAAGTCTGGCAAAGGTGCTGCGCAGGGTGCTGTGCAGGGTGCTGTGCAGGGTGCTGTGAAGGGTGCTGTGCAGGACTGCGGTGGAGAAGTCTAGCAATGTTGCTGTGCAGGGTGCTCTGCAGGGTGCTGTCCAGACTGTGGCGAAGTCTGGCAAAGGTGCTGTGCAGGGTGCTGTGCAGGGTGCTGTGCAGAGTGCTGTGCAGGGTGCTGTGCAGAGGGCTGTGCAGAGTGCTGTGCAGGGTCCTGTTCAGGGTGCTGTGCGGGGTGCTGTGCAGGGCGCTGTTCAGACTGCAGTGGCGAGTGCTCTTCAGACTGCAGTGGCGAAGTCTGGCAAAGGTGCTGTGCAGGGTGCTGTGCAGAGTACTGTTCAGACTGCAGTGGCGAAGTCTGGCAAAGGTGCTGTGCAGGGTGCTGTGCAAGGTGCTGTGCAGGGTGCTGTGCAGGGTGCTGTGCAGGGTGCTGCCCAGACTGCGGTGGCGAAGTCTGGCAAAATTGCTGTGCAGGGTGCTGTGCAGGGTGCTGTCCAGACTGCAGTGGCGAAGTCTGGCAAAGGTGCTGTGCAGGGAACTGTCCAAGTGGCGAGTGCTCTTCAGACTGCAGTGGCGAAGTCTGGCAAAGGTGCTGTGCAGGGTGCTGTGCAGAGTGCAGTTCAGACTGCAGTGGCGAAGTCTGGCAAAGGTGCTGTGCAGGGTGCTGTGCAGGGTGCTGTGCAGGGTGCTGTGCAGGGTGCTGTGCAGGGTGCTGTGCAAGGTGCTGTGCAGGGTGCTGTGCAGGGTGCTGGCCAGACTGCAGTGGCGAAGTCTGGCAAAATTGCTGTGCAGGGTGCTGTGCACGCTGCTATCCAGACTGCGGTGGCGAAGTCTCGCAAAGGTGCTGTGCAGGGTGCTGTGCAGGGTGCTGTGCAGTGGTGTGCAGGGTGCTGTGCAGGGTGCTGTGCAGGGCGCTGTGCAGGGTGCTGTGCTTTGGCTCCCACGTTGGGAACCATCAGTTCCAAGCTTTAGGAACTGGAAGTTCTTTGCAATGGTAACCTGTGGTTCCCAGGTTGGGAAGCATGAGTTCCAACCTCTGGTACCCGGCAGTTGCTTGCAATGGTAACCCATGGTTCCCAGGTTGGGAACCAGGAGTACCAACCTCTGGGAACCGGCAGTTCCTTGCCATGAACCAAACGCAAACATTCTGGTACCGGTCCATTAAGAAAAAGGTTCTGTTACCGGCTCAGTAAACAAAACAAAACAACATTAAGAACCATGATTTTGATCTTTTTTTGGAATCAACAGATCCTTCCACTGGTAACGTATGCTTTTT